CCTGAGAAGAGTAACTGATACCAATAAGAGACAGGACTTCCTTTAAAACATTTTTAAAGACTGCTTTTGGAAAAGATAGAAGGTATAGAGGGAGCAATAAAATTACAAAAAATGGTATATATGGGGAATCACAGACACCTGGAGTAACCACAATTAGGAAAAATTAAAAAAACAAGCAAACCATAAATAGTTACAGTGTAACTATAAAGACCGAAGTCCTCCCATGAGCCACAAAAAAATTCAACTTGGTTACAATAGCAGTTTATATATTAATAATAGTGTATATATATTTAAAGCCCTAAACCTATAGGATTTTTCTTTACCCCAAGATAAAGCATAATCCTTAAACTTAAATATGCTCAACAGAAGATGAATTAGTGGTTATGAAAACAGTACAGGGATCTGAGGATCTTAACCTTCCAAAGACATATTCTTTCCCAAAATATCCCCTGGGGCCACATGAAAGACTTATTGGGATGGGCAGATCATTATATTCTTATGAAAGAATATAATCATGGCTTTAGGCTTTGAAAACTATGTTCTCAGCAAACTTTATTTTCATCAGCTTATTACCTTGAGAATATTGTATCTGTTGAAGATTCCACCTGCATGACCTCCGTCTCTGTGCTCTCGGACTGTACTTTGCATCTGATGAGAAAATATTTCAAATATATGTACATTAGCTTTTATATCTTTTCTGATTATTGTTCTTGATGCATATGATTCTACTTTTGAGAATACAAAATGGGTTTCTAATATTTCTGCTGTTTAAGGAATGAGTTTTGTAAGTTCACAAGTACTATTTTCTAAAGATAGCTATTAGCTAGTACAATCTGAAAATGTATATAGGTGAAAATTATATAATGCAAACTAAAGGAAGAAAAAGAAACAAACAGATGCATGGGTGAGCCAAACATACTAAAAAAACCCTAATGACTTATTTGTTCCCATTTGTTTTGTTCTAATAAAGCACAATTTGTATTTCACTGAGTTGGAGTTTCTTGAGCTTTAGAACTAAATCTCACTCCCCTTTGTATCTCTGTGCTCAACTCACAAACATAGGGTATAGCGTTCTTCAGAGTGTAAGGCACTATTCAAAGATTTTAGTGAATCCAAGAGTTTCGTGAAAAGAAAGCTAGAAAAAAATTTCCTAGATAAGTAGCACCACATATTCTGGGTTTTATCTAAGATACTGGGCTTTGCTATTGCCTTCCTGAAGAGGAGAATATTAGCCATCTTTTCTCCAACAGAATTTTGTGTTAGTATTAATTGTAGTGCTGAACCAAATTATTAGAATTAAAGTTTACAAAGATAGTGTACCTAAAATGCTGATTTCAGAAGTTTTCCAGGTGGTAAAGAGTTAGGAACAATTAAAAACTGCTACATGTTCTAGTAGATCTGGAAACTTTCTAGAAATTTGGTTATTGAACCAACATTTATTTAAGGTATATGAACATACCTCTTCCTCCACAGACTGAAATTCTTTATCATCAGGAGACAGATCTATGAGAATAGTTCCACTTCCAGAGGTGTTCAAAGTTAAGTATGGGTTAAGACCTATCAAATGAAATTTGAAGGTAAATAAATTTTTTTTTGCCAAAAAAAACCAATTGACATTAGCCCAAAATAAACACCTGATTTATTGGATGCTTACTACCATTTAAAAAAACTTTTTATTTTGGAATAATTCAGATTTACAGGAAGGCTGAGAGCACAGAGGGTTCCTGTGTACCCTTCACTCAACTTCCTAATGTTACTATCAGGAACATTAATGTTCCTTTAATGTTCCCATTTTATACACCCATAGTACACCTGTCAAAATTAATTATAGACTTTATTTGGATTTCACCAGTTTTCCCCATTAATGTCCTTTTTCTTTTCCAGGATGCAAACAAGAATACCACACTGTATTTAGATTACTAATTTTTGACCTAAGTCCTAAGGTTTTTGTGAGAATAGTTCACAAAATCTTCCTGGTCTTTATCTTTTATTTGTCAATGTTTTCTTCTTCAAATTATTTCCTTTACTAACTAGGCAGCCCTTTCAAGCATTTAGTTTCTTTACTTTTTGTAAAAATGAGGAAGAATCATGACAGAAACCTGCATGGTCTCAGGTAATTTTAAATCATTCTAGAATGAGAAGGCATAAAGTTTACTAACTATGGAATGCTTATTATAACCCATTAATAGAGTTTTTAATTTAGCAATAAATTTGTCATGTCTTCTGAATGTCAACAGTCATGGAAATCATACTTATTTTTGTATCTTTACTCTCATAAAAGCTTTTAAAATGGAATCTTATACAGAATTTTCTAATTTCTTTGTTCTGTCTGTAACACAACTCTCCTTTAATCTCTGTAAAATCTCCAAAGTGCCACCGTTTTCCCAGGTAGGGCTCAAGTCCTTTACTACTGGGTAAATGCATGGTGTTTTGCCTATGGAGATTAAAAGCACTGCTCTGGTCTGAATAATACGACTACCACCAATATGCCAAACTCTCATAAAACCTTTTAGGTTTGGCTGAATTACAAAATCTATAGGAAGTATGGAGACCATACAGAAGAGAATATTTTACAGAATAAAGACTGTGACAAATGTCTGACTAAGGCATCTTTGGGCAGCCCCAAGAAGACATCAGTGCTGAAAGATCAGGACAAGTAACCTACTGACTTGATACACAGAATGACAGCTAAGGCTGTTAAGTCAGCTAGATGAGAGACTGTCAGAAGCTTGCCACTGGCTCCAGTTTACATACTGAGTACAATATAGGTATAGAATACTGGCTTCAAACGGAGATGAGGAATGTGGTAACTTTATGGAGGAAAGTGACCCTGATGTGTTAGGTCAGACACAGTCATTCCGTGTTGTAACATTTCTCTTCCATGTAAGAATGAAAGTTACTACCCAATCATAGCTGGATGTTACCAGCATGACCAGAGGACCAGTGGTGGTATGGAGATATGTACCTCTGACACTTGAGGCAGTGTATCAGTCTCCCTCACTGTTTCCTGAGCCTTTCAACACAGACTTAACTGCTATCCTACCAGATCTGCAGTGTTTCCTAGTAGTCATGATGGCAGTCCACAACAGAGGAATTTAGTTCCACTTTATACTAACATTCCAGGGAGCCATAAGGTGTCCCTCCTCTTCACCTTATAAAATTTTGTCTTCTATACTGAAATTTTGTCTTCTATACTAGAAATATCCAAGACTATCTCCCATGTTAAACATTTTTCCCTGGTTCCTACCAGGCAAAGAAAGAGCATTTACTTTTAATCAGTTCTATTCCAGAGTTCTAGTTTAAAGCATTCCTTAGCTTCAATCACCTAATTTACAAAGCTCTCTCTTTTTTTTCTTCAAGGGATGGACCTTATCCCGGCTAGCATACACTCTTCCCTAAAACTTCCCTCATTTTTGCTAATGGAGGTTTATTTTTAACCCCAGTTGTATGGCCAGGTCTTCAAATTATAGGATGCTTCTGACCCCAGGATACATCATTCCCTCAGTTTAACAATGAACTTAAAGTAGTTTTGAAACCTAAAACAATTCATCTTTTATAACAAGGACCTGATATACAGGAAGTGTTAACATCTGCTGAACAAACGCAATTTGTATTTTCCTTAAGTATCAACATTCAGGACAAATGAAAATACTATTCAACTTTATTTCACTGTTTCCTCAGTTACAACATTATTGTTTCCCAATATTTTAACTGCAAGTGTTTAGAATGTAACTATGTACAACCAAAGAGATTCACAATATTATTATATGGAAGGCCTGACCACCTAGTCATTACCCATTGTATTACCACATGAGATACCCAAATTCCAGACCTCTCAGAACAACACAATTTTAGAACTGTAACTTCAGAATGGAAATAACAGAAAAAACTTCAGATTTAAAGCAACACTCAGATTTCTGAATGGCCCAGAAACTTCACTTAGGTCCACAGAGTTTAACAGTAGCAGATTTAAGATCTGATCTCAGGTTTCCCAAATCCCAGTTAATACTCTTGGTGGGGAGGGTATAGCTCAGTGATAGAGTATGTGCTTAGAATGCACAATGTCCTGGGTTCAATCCCCAGTACCTCCATTTAAAAATAAACAAATAAACCTAACTACCTTCCCCACAAGACAAAAACAAATAAATAAATGGCTCCCCAGTTAGTGTGCTTCTTATTAAGTGGACTCTCTTACAGATTTTAAAATTATCATTTAGTAAGTTGAGGGCTGCCTTTATACAAACTGTTAAAATGATGACAGGAATGATTTAAAATGAAATACCTTGTTGTCCAGAAATAAGTCTCTCAACTCCTTTAATTAGTTTGTGTCTATGTCCATAAGCATTGATTCCAATCTCCTTCAGTTCCTTGTGCCCCATCTCAACTAATACATCCAAAGTGATCTTACAAAAGAGGATGAAACTGTTTAGAAGACTTGTTTGGAAGACATTCACATATTGGTGTTCTCACAATGTATTAGATCTATACATTTATTGCAAATTATTTTGAACAGATTAGAAACAAAAGCACATCAGTTGTTAAACTGAAACTGAAAAGTTGCAGCTAATTAAACAAAGCTGAGTCACGAACTACCAAAAATATCGTTATTTTCATTTAGCATAAGGACCCAAGAAAAACTAAACTGCAAGACAAAAATGCATCCTCAAATTAACCACATTTAGGCACACTATTTTATCTCTTCCACCATCACTCTGCATTCAACCTATTTGTACGTCTTAATGTAATGCTCCTACAGACTCTGGACTATGCTGACTGATACTTCAGCATCATTGTTCAAACTAACCCTTTTACGTCCCACTGTGTGAAACTGAAGACACTTTTAAAAAATCTGTTTTATTTACAAGTCTTCCATGAAGCTTTCCCTGAATAGTCCACCTTGTAGTAACCCTTCCTTTCTTTGAATTTTTACTGTCTATGCCAAAAACTTAACTCTTCACATGTTCCTATCGTATCTCCATAACTAGACCCAAAGTTTCTTAGGGGTAAAAGTCTAGAGTAATTATATTTTCTGAACTCAAAATATCAGTAACTATATTCTGACAGAACGCTTTAAATTCGGACTGGTCTAGAAAAGCTCAGATATATAGTTGGTGTATACCTCTCCATAATGGCTGGAGAAGTGTCAGGCTTAGAATGGGTCGTGATTGACACAATAGAACTGAACAAGCTGAGTTCAAGGTTAACTTACTTTTAAGAACTGGATAGGCTAAACTTATTCAAGAAAGCTATTTTACTGTTACTATATGAGAATCAATTTTTATGTGCTAATAAACTGAACGGATACTCCAAGATTAAACCAAATCAGAAGAGAGATTGATTTCCAATCTCAAAAAAAATCCTTCTCACCTGACAACAGGTTGAATGGTCAGAGTATTTCAAGCATGTCCCACTTATTCCCTTGAGGTTCTAAAAAATATCAAACCAAGCAAAACAATTCATGTATTTACCTGTTCTCTCTCAAATATATCCATTAAGTGTTCAAGCCCAAGATTCCTTACAAATTGAGTTATGCTAAAATCTACTCCTGGAACTGGAAAATAAAAAAATCAGAACATATAAAATTTCATGTCAGAATAATGTACATCAACATTATAATAGCAAAGTTTTATGATATTGCTATGTGCATGAAGATTGTAAAGATGAAGCAAAATATTAATAGCCATTGGGTTACAATATTAAGTATAACATTAAAAATTGTAAAGAGAAAGCTATAAAATTTCCACATCATTAGAAGAAAGGGTTAAACAATGGGGCACTCTCATGTTACAAAGAAATCTTTTTTTTAATTTTATTTTTAACTGTATCTTTAAAATAAGTTCCCATTCAGCTTAAACTAATACAGTTCTGTCAATTATATCTAATTGAAAAAAAAAGTTTCCCTACCTTTGAGGATATAAACTACTTTACAAAAAAACTATGAAAACAAGGTCCACATGTTGCATAGAGTGAGATGGATTTTGACAGGTAAAAGGTAAAGAAAACAGTTCTATAGACTGTAGGTATGTGTGTCTTTTTCTTTTTTAAAGTGATATTCAAAATTAGGTATTTTGATGTAGGGTTGAAAGTATTTCATAATTCCGTAATAATACACTGGAAGAGGTAAACAAAGGCATAATTACTCAAGTAAAAGCACTTCTATACCTTCCAAAAAGCATATTTATATCTAAAAAGTAGGTTAGCAGCAGAACACTCATGAAGTCTCAACTTGGAGAAAGTTTCATTAGGAATTCTAATAATAATGTAAAGAAAACAATAAAAGGTATGTTAACTAATCTGATACTAACAGTTGTAGTTAAGGTCAAAAAAAAAAAAAAAAGACCTTAGCAATCCAAACGACAATGTGGCTACGTTAAGTTATTTTGGCTGAATGTCTCACCTTCCTTTTTCTCCAAACTGGATGCACCCTCTGATCCACTTGAACTAACAACTGAGGACAGTTCAGAAAAACTGGCAGATAAGTTGTCAAGACTGCTGGCTGCAGAAAGGCTTGATGGGCTGGATGGACCTGAAGACAGAGCATCTGTGGTGGGTCCTGGGCTTCTCACACCATTGAGCACTTGAGGTTTATAACACGAAGGCAGAGCAGAAGGGGGCATGGCTGCTGTCAGGAGAGCGCTGACATCATCTGCCTACGGCACAAGTCAGAGAGAGAGAAAACCTGCAGTAAGCAAGTTTTAAAATTCTGCTAAACTCCATAGAACACATTTAAAAATATGACAAAAACCCAGCAGATATGAACTAGAATTAGACACTCACAGTTGGTATATAACATTTTAAAATAATATTAGCATAATTTATTGGGCACTATTTATGTATCTGATACCATGCCAAGGACTTTAAGTACATCACCTCATTTAATTCTCATATCAACCAGATCTTTTTTATCCCCATTTATAGATTAGGTAGTTGAAGCTTAGAGGTTACGCAATTTGCAAGACTGTACAATTATAAGTGGTAGAGCTGGAATTCTAAGGCAAGTCTGTTTGATTCTAAAGCCCACGCATGTTCTCTAGAGCACTGTTTCAATGCCACTTAATTATAGCTAGTGGACTAACATATGGGCAGATTAAATTAGAAAATTTCACTTCTAAGTTAGTTTGGAACTGGAAGGACATTTCCCTGAAGAAATGTTACAAATATGGTGGGGTTGTCAGCCTGCTAAGAAAATTCTATTCAACTCTCAATGCAGCTGAACTGAATCAGGTTCTCAATGTAACCTGCAACACTGGAATCTCTCTCGGTAGAAAGCAGTCTGCAGGACAGACTCCTTTTCCTTCCCACCTTGAGAAGAACCTCTTCTCCCTTTCCCTCCACTGCTCTGGGTCACCGTCCTTAGTGGCAGAGGCAAGAGAGGCACCTGTGTCACAGGTGGAGAGAAGGAGGCCACAATGGAGACAACTACAGGAGTTTCCTTGAGAGAGGAAGGAAAAAAGGACTTCCCAGGGAAAACTGGAGGAACAAACTTGTTCCGAGAATAGTTTTGGTGGGGTAAGCAATAACATTTTGGGGATGAGGCAGTGTTGGGAGGGAAGAAAATCTCTACAGCAGAAGACTTTGTAGCTGCACCCTGAGGGTAATGTTCCCAGCTCAGTAAGTTCATAAGGCCCATGGACCTGTACCATCTTCTGTTCTGTGTGCTGTAACAGCATTCATTGAAGGCCTTGCCTGTTTCGTTTCCCAAATAATGTAAGTAGCTATACCTTATACTTCTTTTTCCCATTTTTAAAGCACTCAGCATACAATAACTGATTGATAATTCTATTTACTTTTTATATTACCTAAGTAGTCCTAAATTTAAATTGGGCTAAAAATCAGATTTTGCCACATTCACCATGAAGACATTTTATATATACCAAGTAAATTTTACAAAGTAAAGAAAGCAGTGAGATTTTTCAAAGAGCCCATCACTTACTGAAACTAAATCTAAAGGTGTTTGTCCTTCCTGATTTTTAAGAGTAGGATCAGCTCCATGGGCCAACAATAAAGCACAAAGCTGTGTCCGTCCCTTTTGGGCTGCTTCGTGCAAAGGAGTGAAAGCCCATTTGTCCGTAGCATTGACACATGCATTATACTTTATTAGCAAAGCTGCTACATCTACGTGCTGTGAAAGAAAAAACTCCTGTTACAGTCTGAAATATTACTTCATCACACTTTAGTTCTTAAAAAGAAAATAGCTATATACCTCTTTTTCCATAGTTTTAAATTTACTCTAGAAATGAAAAACTTTCTTCCCACCATCACAATTTGTGGGTGGTTGATTAAAAATTACAGTTGATGTTTTAATAATTTGAGAAACTAGAAAATAGTTAAGAATTCTACACAGGAGGGAACTAAAACTAAAATGCTAAACAGTTTCTCATTTATTTAAGTGTTATAACTGCTAAACATCAATTTATAAACCAGCAATCGTCCTCAATTACTCAACTGAAGATGGTCAGTACTGATGTTACTATTCAAGGATATTGTAAGTCAAGAACAATGCATCTGATCTTTACCAATTCGTATGAATCCCAGTGGGTTTTCTGGGATTCAAACAAATAAAATCATCACATCTCACAAAAAATAAAAGATATGTACAAGGAAAGACAAAATGTGCTGCATGTTGCACAACAAGCTACAACAGATTTAGATTTGAAAATCTGAAGTAACCTCTTTGGTTCTCAAATTTACTTCTCTGTAAAATGAGAAAGTCAAACTAAATTCTCTTTGAATTTCAATAGTGATTCTCACTTTGAAAATTTCAGAGATTTTTAAAGGTAACATGGAAGAACTTACCCCATAAGATGCTGCATTGTGTAAAGGAATAAGTCCTCCTTTGTCTTGAGCATTCACATCAGCTCCATGTTGCAGCAGATACTCTGCAACTTCTAAATTATTATAACCAGCTGGTTAAGAAAAGAAGTAAAATTACTTTCACTTTTTCATATAAAAAATAGCTACACATATGTATATATCTATATATAAAGAACAGACATGATTTTAAAAATAAGAGATTTTATATAAATCTGAAATTCTCCAAAGGAGTCTATTAAAGATTTATCTTATGGGAAAAAATTGCCCACTGGCCTCAGGTTGGAAGCTTTCAGTAATGATACCCACTTGTTTTAGAGACTCTGAAGTTATACTGATTGATTTACTTAAATCTTTCCTCTTAAAACTTTCCCACCAAAGTCCCTGCCTTCATGGTTGTTGTATACACAGTTTCTTGAACTCAGATACATGGTCTCAAAGCTGCAAGCAAAAGGCATCCAATCTATATAAAAGCCAAGTTAGGAACACAAGTGGCTGGCAGAGCAGAAAACACACCAGTGTGGGTCTCAGGGCCTCATATCCCCAGAAGGCCACGAAGACATGCTTTTTGCTAGAGAGAATGTAGAGGTACACAACTCTACAAGTCTGGCAGCAGAACCAATTGCTGCTAAAGCCATGAAGTAAAACTTAGCATTTTATAAATGTACCATAACTCCCCAGCTGTCACCCTGAGAACTCAGCTATCTTAGTACATGCTCATGGTAAAGTAAGTATATTTTGTTTGACAACCATAGTTTGAAAGTAAATCTGGAACTTAACTTTGCCAATGTAAAACCAGGTTATCACCTGAAACTTTAAAATAGTTCAAAATACTTTTTTCACATTCATTTTCACTGTAGTTTTTTAGCCTTTTGCTGAATGATCTAAAGCAAAAAAACTTTAGTAAGGTCAAGTAAAGAAAAACAAAACTACGAAACTAACATAAACTAAGTACTACACCAAATTCAAAAGTCCTTCCAGGTCTCGAGGTGTAATACCACATAAATGAGGAGAAATATTTTGTGTATACAACATATTTGCCACTTACAAGTACAACACAGACAAACAATAATGTTAAATGTTCTAGATAAGCTATCATTAAAATACAAAAAGCTTATATAAATAAATATGCACAGCACAATTCAAATCAGAGGTCAGGCTACATCTTGTCTTACAGGGACTAGAAACTCCTGATTGCCAGGAGAAGGAGGAGAGCTTTCTCTCACCTTGTTAGCATTTGTGGCTTACCACTTCAAAATGTGTCTAAAAGACACACAGATGGAGTAATTCTTTTCCACTGACAGTGGGGTCCTAACTTACATGGGGTCATAATTTAAAGGTAAAAACCACATACACTAAAATTATCTCTTAAAAACTAGGAACATAGCTGCTCACACTGTAAGACCAAAAGGAACTGAGAGAAGAGTGTGGACTTTCATCTCCCACATTACACAAAGTGGCAGAAACACCTGCATTCCTTTTTTCTCTTTTTAAACCACATGTATTCAGATAAACTTGTATGAATCAAATGTGCCTATGATGCAGCTCCACTGAAGTATTAGCTGTAGCTCAGTGTTTTAATGGCCCATTCCTTAGCATCTTTAATGCAGCTGAAAAAGATATACTGTGCCACTTTCATGAATGGAATCTTAGAACAAATGCCACGTACTGAATTGTAGTCCCCAAGTTTCCTATGTTGAGCCCTAACCACTAGTATCTTAGAAAGTGACTGTATTTGGAGATAAGGCCTTTAAAGAGGTAATTAAGTTAAAATGAAGTTGTTAGGGTTAGCCCTAAGTGAATCTGACTGTTCTCCGTATAAGCGAAGATTAGAACATAGACACACCAGGGATATACACAGAGAAAGGGACACGTGAGGACACAGAGAAGGTGGTCATCTGCAAGCCAAGGAGCGAGGCCTCAGAAGAAACCAGTCCTGCCAACATCTCCAGAAGTGTGAGGAAATACATTTCTGTTGTTTAAGCCCCTTAGCCTGTGGTAAATCAAGGCAGGCCTAACAAACTAACACAATGAATAACTTGAGCAAGAGGTTTATGTAACTCCTGAAAGACTCTAAAGATTGTTTTCTGCTTGTGCTTAACAGCTATCATCAGAAGAATGGAAAGCTTTAGCTTCCCACGAGGAAGGATGGCTCAACAGGCATATTTTTGAAATTTCTGTAGTCAAAACACACACATCATAGATGATTCACACAGTATGACCTGGAATAAAGGTTCCAAAGCACATGGTGACTGACAGAGCCCATTTCAATTGTTCTTACTGAATATAACATGCTGGTACTAAAGTGGATGTGAAGTATAGTTGCCCTATACAAATACTCTAGAGTATGATGGAAGTATTAGAAGATACTTGATTTTAATCTTTCAAGATTACTCATAGGAAATATTTTACTCAGGTAAAATGAATCTTACATGTCACCAGCCTAAATCTGAGACACTTCATCCACTTACCTGCTAAATGTAAAGGTGTTGAATGCCGGCCTTGGGTATCACGACAATTTACATTATCTGGAGAAGATAACTTCTTTACTCTGGCCAAACAACCCTTCTTGGCAGCATCCAACAAAGCTGCATCTCCCCTAAGTAGATCTTGGATATCTGTATCCCCATCTTTAACAAGATCCAAAGGAGTATTTCCATCTCTGTTTTTCTTTGTAGGGTCTGCACCATGCTGGCCATGTGAAAAACAGAAAGCGAGGAAATGGCTTAAGTTTGCCCTTGGTCAATGAGAAAATAGTACATTTAATGATACTAAGAGACTATACCTTAAAGATTAACATGATTGTTATTAATGCTTAATTAATATACAAAAACTTAAAAAATAGAGGCAGTTAAATATTGGGCTTCTATAATGCAATAATATAGTTAAAAATTTAAACTTTCAAAATAAGGTAGTATCTCATTAAAAATTACCTTTCACATATGCTATTTTTAGTTTTCATGAAACTTCAATGTTTGTATAAAGTATAAATGTAACTATACTCTTGTTTTTACTGTAAAGTATCTATATCAGTACCAGTATAGAAAAACCAGTAATGTCAATTTCATCAGTGCTAAATAAAACTGGCTTATAGTGTTCATGACATCTATTCTGAAATCCAGGTTCAGAATTAGACAACTTTGCTTCCTACCTCCTTACTAGTTTAACTTTATATTAGTTGTTAGAAATATCATAAACATATTTTGTATAATACACTCTGTCCACAGTAAGTACTTAAATATACCTGGAGCAGAAGTTTACAAATTTCATATTTTCCTTTTGCTGCTGCTTCATGTAAAGGTGTAAATTTCCATAAGTCAGCTACATTAACTACTGCTCCATGCTTAACAAGAAGTTCTGCAACTTCATAGTGTCCATAAGAACATGCATTGTGCAAAGGTACAAGGCCTCTGAAATGGAAAGTTAAATGAGCAACACAACACAAAGATACACTTTAATTTAAATTATTACATATAGCAGCTAAATTTCTTGAACTGCATGTGGGATTTTACTGATTGTATTTTACAGAACCTAAAATCTGAAAGCAGAAATGAAATTACTTTGTGAGGGGGAGGAAGGGAGGAAATTTCAAAAATATTTAAAATTGCAGAGAATGTAACAAACATCTATATATTCAATATCCAGAACTGAGAAATATATATTTTTAAAGAAAAATAATTTTAAGATAAACTGGAATAATTCAAGTGTCCTCAATGCAAACTAAAAAATTTACATTAAAAATCAGTATCACACTAATGCTGTAATCTCCTTGGTCATTACAGAATAATAAAAAGGCATTATGCAGCTTTTTACATAAACGCTAATCATAAAGTCTTGACTGAAATTAAGAAGCTATATTTAAGCCAATGTTAGCAAACAGACTTCTCTGAAAATAAAAGAGCTACCAACTATCTTAAAAATATTTTCAGATTTTCCTACAAAGGTCAGATGAAGGAACAGAGAGGCCCCGGTGAGTGCTGGTACTTGCCCTTTATCTTTAGCGTGCACGTCAGCTCCGTGTTGCAGTAGGTATTCCACCACAGACACCCGGTTATAGCCCGCCGCAAAGTGGAGCGGTGTAGACTGACGTCCTTCAATGTCTCTGCAGTTGACACTCTGAACAGTACATAATTTCTGTAGGATGGAACACAGTGTACACATGATGTTACATATTCTAACTTCTTGCTTTCATTTATCTAATAGAAATTTCCAATGTCTCATCATTATCAGTATTCTCAGAAACTCTTTGCTATTTATTCTTCTTACTTCATCTTGTCATTTACTGGGAATCTCTCTGGTCCTCTTATCTATAATCATCTTCTTTTGCTAAAGCTCGTAGGTCCATTTTGTTATTACCATTACTACAATTTACATAAAGGTAACATTTAAGTACCAATTATCAGCAGTTGTAATTTCCATTTTGTGGTAAATATATGTATAGGTATCCTGGATCATAGGAGCACTGGCATCACCTGGGAACTTGTTAAAAACTCTGATTCTCAGACTTTTACCCACTGAATCAGAATCTGCATTCTGACAGGATCTCTACATAACCTGTAAACACATTAAAGTACTGTTCTAGAACAGTGGTTCTCAAATTTTCATGTGCACTGGGTCCTACCTCCAGATTTCCTAATTTGTTATGTTTGGGATGGGGCCTGAGGAATTACACTTAGAGAATTATATTGTACTACGTGGAATGAATAAACTAATAGAATGCTATTGGTTGTATATAATCCTTGGGAGGATTAAGAAAAGTAATTTTTTGTCTTTTTTGGTTCAGGTGAGGAAGTCTAGCTGAGAAAGGCTTGTAAGAGTAACACTCAAAATACTCAAAGAGTATGTGAACATTTGGGGAAGGAAAGCAACACAGATAATAAATCATGGTGCTCAAAAAAAGATCAAAAGAATATTTTAGGTAAGAATATTACTAAAAACACTTTCCCTTTTTTTTTACTCCCCTACCCTACAAGCAGGCATAACTTAAGCCTAATAAACCAAAGGAGCCAGCTATCAGTAGGTTTACCTCAAGGGGGTTAATAACAGGTCTGATAGAACTCTTTAGTGCATTCCCAACCAGAGCCTGTTGGATATATACATTCAGGGTCCCACCATTGAGAGATGGTGTTCTGTGGCTCTGAAATCGGGCTCCAGGAAGGAGGAATTAACCCGTATGTCAAGTCCTGCTAGGTTTGGTCGTTATCAATGGCCATTCTAACTCCCTAGCTCTCAGTTTAATTTTGTCCACTGAGACAACTTTACTAACAGTAGGTGTCCAAGAAAGTATCTAGCCTGAGAGCTCACCACTAAACAAACATTACTGAGCACATAAATGAAGTACTCACTGGGCAATGTGCAGATGTTACTGTCCTAGCAATTCATACCAAGCCATTGGTGTAGAGATATACAAGGAATAGAAAAGTTGATGGAGATAAATTTCCATTAAGTGATTTTAAAAGCAGAGTTGAGGAAAGGCAGCCTAATGTCTATCACAGGGAGAGGGGAAGGTCTTCCTCAATCCAATGGCATTATTTTATTCTCTAAGTCCAATTGCTGCCCCCAATCTTTTCTCTTGATCTATTTCTTCCTTCTAGCCTTCTTCTATCTTTATGAAAACAAAGTCTGGTCTTTAATATTAGTGTACTGAATATAGTTTTATGTTCCTTAATATATGTAAGTGGATGACCATTACAATTTTTTACCAGTAATCCCCCTTCCCTGCCAACAGCTAGTTGACTCTAACTCCATCTGCCCATCTAACGTAATTTATCATTCTTCAAAAAAACAAAAACAAAATCTCAGCTCACTATCCTTAACTCAAGTGATTCGTTTTTCCACAAATAATGACTTGTAGAAGATGACTTGTCAATAAGAGAAACAAAATCCACCCTTTCAAAATCATGTTAACCTCCTAATTAAGGGCATGAGAATGAACTACAAAATAAGTCAAACAATAAACTGCATAATAGCATTTTTCTTTGAAAAGTTAAATTATTAAAAAAAATAAAATCTTAAGTTATTTGGAAATGACTGCACTATCTACACAGATAAAGCAGTAGGAAAGGATCACAAAGACTTTTAAATCAACTTGGAGAAATCTCTTTATTTAAAACGACAGTGAATAAATTTCCTCAGAGCTGAAGGTTAGATGAGACCAATATTTGTATTTTGTTCTCAGAAAATCTAAAATTGATTTTGTGGGGTTAGTCTATTCAGGATTAAGAACCCCATAGAGAAATATAGTGAAACTGTTTCAAATAGTGACCTCTGCCACGAATCAAATCAGTAAATTAAGCTTTTTATAAAACTTATTTCCTATCAGTGCCACCTCAAATAGGACCAGCACTGCTTTGAAAAAGTTTGTGTGTGGTGAGGAGAGAGGACGCAACAGGGCTCTTTTCTCCCTTACTAGCTCTGGAAATGAAAATAACATCATTGCATTACTGAAGAATTATCTAATTCATGAAACATGCTGAGTTAATTTTAATTTATATTAGTTGAACTGAAAAGTAGTCTTGCTCTTCCAAAATGTTAGTCTTCCGAGTTAGTTATTCAGATACACAGTTTCTATAGGTAATAGAAGTATCTGGTATAGGCAATAAGACATTACATATGATTCTATAGTAAAAGCAAAGTTTGAGGAAAGATTGACCATTATAGGAGATGGGTCCTAGAAGGGCTAGTTGGCTCTTCTGAGAAAGAAAAAAAGTATTTCAGTGTCGAGATAAACTGAACATTATTAGGAGACAATGGCTCTGAAAAGTGGTGACACTCTATTATTACTATAAACACTGGATCCTCACAAAGGTAGAGCGGGCAAAGAAATGAAGAAACCAGAAGAAATGTGTAGACAGAGTGATACACTGTTCAGTTTTCTTCCCTTCCTGTTTCAGGTGTCATATGTAAACAATAATGGACAATTATTTGATATGTGTTATTCTTTTAAAGGGACAAATGAATAGGTTCTTTAAACAAAATGCATTTCTATAAACATGAAGTTTATTTAAATTTGTGACATGATGTATTTATTGAGATGTGAAATCAAAGTTTCTTTCATTAATGATCCTTATTTGCAGAGCAGAACTAGATTAGCATTATTTACCTTTTAAAACAATGCACATATAAATAACTTGATTTTTCATATTAACAGTACGGATTCATTAAATAGTTAAAATAAAAACCCAAAGTTAACAAAACCATAAGATCGTATCTTACTTTTACAGTTTCTACATCTCCAGCTTTTGCAGCTTCCAGCAATTGTCTGTCGGCTTCTGAATTACCTAATGGGATACCCTCTAAAAAGAAAGGGAAGAAAAGAGTGATTAATTCCTGTTTGGAAAGGGGCTGGGGGGCTTTGGAAGGGGGCTAGGGGGGCGAAGCTTTAAGGGAGGCATCGTATCTGAAAGTAAAGCTCTTTTTACAGTTTGGTGGTAATTATGTAGGAAATCTCCAAGGTAGTAGGGGAAAAGCAGTAAAAACTTTTTGAAACATTTTACAACACACACACACACACACACACACACACACACACACACACGCATATGTGAAATGTACGTAAATGTGAATTATAAAATGAGATTTAAGTAATATAAAGGAACATAAATAAAGTAGATAATGAAAGATGGCCTGACCTATAATCAGGTTTAACAGTATTTGTGCATTGAGTACAATGAGCTGTAAGAAGAAATAACAGCTTACTGGGACCTACTGTACAGCACAGCAACTATATCTAATTTCTTGTAATGAGCTGTAATGGAAAAGAATCTAAATATATGTATGTATACATATAACTGAATCACTTAGTTGTACACCTGAAAATAACAGTCATCGACCACACTTCAATAAAAAGTAAGAATTTTAGAAAAAGAAACAGCCAACAAATCTAAAAAAACTTTCTTTTTACTACCAACTCTTACATGATATGTAAAAAATAAATAAATAAAGGTTAATTTAAAAAAATAATAATTTCATGGAAGCATTCAATACCTTGAAGAAGTTGCTGCACATTTTCATTTCCCATCTGTAAGGCAGTAAAGCCCTGAAGGGATATGATGTTAGGATCACACCCATAACTCAGGAGTAGGCGGCAGGTTTGCAGATGACCACAATGTGCAGCTCTGTGCAGAGAAGTCTGACCGAGATTATCCAGAGCATTAACCTTAACAATGCAGAAAAGCTAAAATTAGCTTGCAGTGCAAAATTTTAAACTGTCCATTTGTGTATTCAGCACTTGTTACCAATTTAAAATTTCAACTATTCTTTTATGAAGCCTATTATCCAGTGCCAATGCAAGTATTTTTGCTCAAATCAAAGTATAAATTCACCAATTCATGAAGGCAGACATCAGAAGACCCAATTTTGGATTAAAAGTGTTAAGATGTTGAAAAACAGTTGTGTTTATTAGCATTATAGCATTCACAGATTTACTGCATTTAGAGCTAGACATTGCCTAAGAAAGTCTAATGCATGTATTTTTATGGATCTCTGAGGTGTAGAAATGTTGAGACTAACTCCAAGATAATAGTAACAAAGCCAGAGACTAAATTATCATTAAAATACTTATTTCTACTGGCTTATTCTTCTACCTTATTTATCATGTAAAATATAATCTGTATGGATCAAGACACGATGGTATATTCACACAACAGAATATTTCTTAGCAATAAAAAGGAACAAATTATTGATACATGGCTTAATCTCCAAAACATTATTCTGAGTGGAAAAAGTCTTACACCAAAGAGTATATATTGCATGATTCCATGGACATGAAGGCCCAGAACAGCTGCATCTAATCTATGTTAGAAAAAATCAAAATGGTTGTTGCCTTTAGGTGTGGAGACTGCCTTGGATGGGACACTGCCTTTGCTATAAGATAATGTTCTCTACTGTCATGATTTTAGTTGCACAGGTATATGCATTAGGCAAAGTTCGGTAAATGTACATTTAAGATTTGTACATTTCATTGCACATAAATTTCACATCCAAATAAAACCTGAAAACAAATATTAATGTCTAGCTGAATCCTACTAAGAGAATTTAGGGAGAAGTGTACAGTAATTAGCAAATTTTTTAAAAAAAGTTTGCCAAAAAAAGAGATATTGATGGATAGAGGGAGAAATTGGTGGATATAAAAGAAAACAATATGGTAAAATGCTAGTGACAGAATTTAGATGGTGAGTATATAACTACTCTCTTTAAAATTCTTCCAACTTGGTTGTATTTTTTGAAATTTTCCATTAAAAAAAAGTCACCTGTAAGACTCCTTCTATCTCATCCCCATTCCCCCAACCAACCAGGAAAATAATTCTTCAAATCATGACTGAGTAATCAAATTCCTCAGTAATCAATCACATGACCACTAGTGTGTTTTGAGACATTGTCTAATTCATATTCTTAGAATCAGAGAACATCTGAACAGAAGTATATAATAAGACTTTCTCAATGAATCTAAAAGTAGCCTATAAAACTAGTCTCCATGCTTATTGAATCTGAAAAATCAATTTAAAATGGTCAGGGCAATTAATTTATTTATTCACATAAAAAACTCACTGAAATGTGAACTACATTTACTTGAAAACTTTATCTGGGTACCACTCTGTGTCAAGATCAGGTGACCAACTTGTCCTGGTTTGTCTGGGACTTTTCCAGTTTAAGCACTGAAAAGTCCTGTGTTCCCAGAAATCCCTCAGTCCTGGGACAAACCTGGATGGTTGGTCACCTTAGTTGAGACTGTTACACAAATCAAATTTAATTTGCATCCAGACAGTCTTCACATAATGCACCACACGTAAGAAAAGAGCAATCAACGAAAAGTTACAGAACAGACAGACAAATGAGGTATGCCAAGCAGTCAAGCAGAAATAAACTTTATTTTTTCAATACTTTACAATAAGAAAGATTGAGATTATACATTATCAAGAATTCCCCCAAATCAAAGAGAAATTAGGACACTGAGAGGCAACAGAAGAAGAAACTGTAGAATCAAAGTAGTTCCTTGGGTGGAAACCCAAGGAAGGACAGATCAGAAAACAAGTCTACAAAGTTCATTTGGAGAAGAGCCTCAGGGGGCCCCAAGGGTAAAGGGATCTCTGTTTCTTTCTTCTCCCTTCATCAGAGCAGCTCAATTCTGTTCTACAACAACTACCTACCAAAGATTTTGTTTGAAGAAAACAAGGATTTGTGGCTAAAAACTGTGAAAACTGTTGAATTAGGTGA